AGGTACTCGCGCTGGAAAGGGGAGAGCCGCTCGTGCAGCGGAAGCGGGGGCGGGCGGGGAGAGAGAATGTTAACGAGTCCGGTCCGAGCGAAAGGAAAGGGCGCCGTACGCCGGCCAATGGCGGCGCCGCCAGCCGCGGCCGACCAATCAGAGACCGACCCCGCGGTTCGATTCGACCGCGTTGCCCCGGGCGACCGCGAGCGCCACAACAAGCGACGGGGGGCGCGCGTGGCGACGGCGACGACGTGCTAGTCTCTGACGCGCGGGCCCGCGGCCTCCTGCCGCTGCTACAGGTACCGTGGGGCCCTAACCAACCCCGCCGCGGGTATAGAGAGTGCAGGCATGTTCCAGGGCACGGCCATCAGGGACGGCGAGTACACCAGGACCATCTACTCACTGGTACCTACAACCCCCCCTACCTCATGCGTCCTTCCCCAACCAATGTCAGCAAAGTTGTGAAATTATTTTATCATAAACAACATAATTTTATTTTTTGGGGACCTCTTCACAGATCAAGGAGCAGCGTTACAATGATGCTATCCAAGTCCTCAACAGTATTCTTGAAACTAATAGAAGTGTAAGAAAAAATTACGGCTACATTAAATTTTTTGCTGATTGCATGAATTACTTTTGTAAACAAGTACACTATTCTCATTTTACAGTCGAGAGCTGGACTTTCATTACTAGCGTACAGCTATTTTCACTCTCAGGATTTTGTTAATGCTGCCAACTGCTATGAGCAGCTGACGTTACTTTTACCAGAGCATGTCGAGTATCGTTTGTATTATGCCCAGGCATTGCACCAGGCTTGTTTGTATCAAGAGGCAATGAAAGTTACCGCTCAGATAGAACATCCAGATTTTCAAGCCAGGGTATAGTATCAATTCATATAAAAATAATTTTTTTCTTCCATTTTACATACAGGATCGGTAAAAAATTGAAAAAATGTTTTTCAGGTAACAAAATTAAAAGCTGCTATTAGATACGGAGAGGAAGATTTAGCTGGTGCCAAGAGTCTGGTTGATAGCTGTCCTTCTGATGATCCAGACACTGATGTGAACCTTGGATGTTTGTTGTTCAAAGTAAGTGTGACCTAAAAGAAATAAAATAACTGTATTTTGTTCTACTCTAAGCAAGTTACTAACTTTTATTTGAACACAGGAGGGGCGCTATGAAGATGCTTTGCAGAAGTTTACTGCTGCACAACAAATGTTAGGATATACTCCTCATTTGTCTTACAATGCTGCTCTTTGCTGTTATCGTCTTCATGAATACACAAGTGCCCTCAAGCATATAGCTGACATTATTGAGCGGGGCATCCGAGAACACCCTGAACTAAGTGTTGGCATGGCTACCGAGGGAATTGAAGTAAGAAGTGTGGGTAACACCCTCACTCTACATGATACGGCTTTAATTGAAGCTTTTAATTTAAAAGCAGCAATTGAATACCAGCTTAAAAATTGTAAGTATGGTTGAAATTAAATTTCTTTAAATGACAGAGAAACAGTGTATAAAATATGTGTTTAATTTTAGATGAAGCAGCAAGAGAAGCATTGACTGACATGCCTCCTCGGGCAGAAGAGGAGCTTGATGCAGTAACTCTCCACAACCAAGCCTTGATGAACATGGATACAAGGGCCTCTGAGGGTTTTGAAAAACTGCAATTTTTACTCCAGCAAAATCCATTTCCTCCAGAAACTTTGGCAAATCTATTACTTTTATACTGTCAATATGAATATCACCATCTTGCAGCTGATGTACTTGCTGACTACCAGCATTTGACTCCCAAGTATCTGTCGCCTGTGAGTGTTAAAATTTTAGTAGTACTATTTTCTAAAATAATTTTATAAATATTGCTTTATGTGTTACATTCTTTTTCCAGTACTTGTATGATTTTCTTGATGCACTAATGCTGCAACACTCAGCACCAGAGGAGGCTTATCGTAAGCTTGATGACATTGCATCAAGGCACACAGAGGCTTTAAGGAAACTCACTAAACGTGTTCAGGAGGCTCGCCAAAATCATGATGATGAAGCAGTCAAAAGAGTTGTAACTGAATATGAGGATACTCTTGAAAGGCAAGTATTGAAAGTGTTGATTTAATATCTAAAATAATTTACACACCCAACATTGAATTTTAAAAATGATTTTCTAGGTACATCCCAGTTTTGATGGCGCAGGCTCGAATATATTGGGATCGGGAAAACTATGCTCAAGTTGAAAAGATTTTCAGAAAATCTGTAGAATTTTGTAATGACAATGACACATGGAAATTAAATGTAGCCCATGTACTCTTCATGCAAGAGACAAAATTTAAGGAAGCTACAGGATTCTATGAACCAATAGTTAAGAAAAATTACGATAATGTAAGTATTCTTACTGAGATGGATGATGAGATTTTTAAATTGGGGTAGTCTTAGCTTTAATTTATTCTCAATTCTAGATTTTAAATGTAAGTGCGGTAGTGTTGGCTAATCTATGCGTATCTTATATAATGACATCACAAAATGAAGAGGCCGAAGAAATGATGAGAAAAATAGAAAAGGAGGAAGAGCAGCTTTCATTTGAAGAGCCAGAAAAGAAATTATTTCACCTCTGTATTGTAAATTTAGTTATTGGAACACTTTATTGTTCCAAAGGGAACTATGAATTTGGCATATCAAGAGTGATAAAAAGTTTGGAGCCGTATCACAAGAAATTGGGAACTGATACATGGTCAGTATAATTATTTGTAAACCTACTCCAAATTACAACTGTTGACCTGGATTGCTAATATTTTTTCCTCCCTAGGTTTTACGCAAAACGCTGTTTTCTGTCATTAATTGAGAACCTGGCAAAGCACATGATTGTTGTTCGAGATTCTGTAATACAAGACTGCATTCAATTTCTGGAACAGTGTGAAGCTCATGGGCGAGATGTCCCTACAGTTGTTGAAGCACCCTTAGAAGATCTCAGCATTTATGAAGGCCGCAAGACAGTTACATATGAATCACGTTTACTAAAGGCCTTAATGCTGCGTCTACAGATGTACTGAATTGTAGCCCACAATAATTGTACCTATCTAGTCCTAAATATTAATTTTGTAAGATTTTAGAGCAACCAAAAGGAGTTCA